GAAGTGTTGCTGCTGGAGTGCTGGTCTGCTGCTGCTTGCTACTGGTCTTTTAGTCTGTTCATGTTTTTGTTGGTCTGTTGCTGATGTATTGCTGTTGGAGTGTTGTTGGAGTGCTGTTGGAGTGATACTGGTATTCTAGTCTACTGCTGCTGGAGTGTTGCTGCTGGTCTGTTCGTGTTGCTGCTGCTTTATTTTTCTTACTTTTAATGTTGTTTGATTGTTGAGAGTAGACTTTCATGAATGTTGATGAATGATGGATCATGGATGTTGCTTTGATGGATCATGGTTATAACTTAGAAGTTTGAACGATGCAATTTGCTAGTTTCAATTTCAATGAAGTTCAATGGTTTTCTTTCAGTTTCATTCTGGTTTTCAAATTTTAGTTTATATATGTGTGTAGCGGGTAAAACCCAACCAACCGGGTAATATCCAAACCCGGACGGATACGGGGATGGATAGTGATTTAGTATCCATTGACGGTTGGCCATTCCGGACGGGTACGGGTAATTACCCGTTTATAACTACGGGCGGGGCTCGGGGAGCTACTACCCGGCCCCATACCCACCCGTTGCCATGCCTATTCTTCTCATTGTTGAAGCCGACGGCCTCCTTCCCAAATTTGCACCAACTTCAATCCCTCTCAGTGTTTGCATCCCACAACCGTTATGCAGAGACTTCTGGAACTCCCAAATTCAAGCAACCGTCATTCATATCATTTTCCATCAATCCTAACCTGGACGGTTGGCAGCGCCTTCTCAACCGGAAGCAGTGGACGGGAACAAGAGCGGCAGCGCGATGGCGACGGAAGACGGCGAGATCACAAATTCGTCCGGGATGAGGGGCGGGAAGAAGGCGGGAATCGCGGTGGGACTAGTAGCGGTGGTGTGCGTCGTCGGAATCGGCGGGATGGTTTACCTCAAGAGGCAGCAAAATTTGAGGAGGGCGCAGTTCGATTCCGCCGACAGGGCGGATCTCCTGTGAGGATGAAAGCACCACAACCTTCCATCGGTGAGCCGCCGTTGAAGTTGGAGCGACGTCCATCGGTGGGCGGATCCGCTCCCTTCATCTTCCGGCCGACGTACTCTATCATCATTCTTCGCCTGTCATATTTGCTATCACCTGGCCAAAACATTGATCTGCTATCACCATTGGGGGAATCTTTGGCGCTGCTTGGAGTTCCAGATCAAAGGCCTCAATGGAAGACATGGCGGCGTTGATGGCGTTCCAAATCCGGCAATAGGTGGACGATCATCTCCCCCACAGGCCTGTCTTGTCGGTTAGAATCACGAACGGGGTGGCGGTTACGCTTCTTGGCCGACGATTCAGATAAGTGTTCCTTTATCATTTATTATTTATTTATTATTATTATTATTTCTTTCCCTTAATTATTATCCTTCATACTTTATTTGTTTCCAATTAGTCTTTTTCAACTTTTTTCATTTTTCTCGTATGTATCTATTGCCTTCTTTTTAAAATTATATACTTGCAAATTGTTAGGTCCCCGAAATTTAGGTTGTACCCTTCTTAGGAAAAAAAAAAATAGGTGTGTTTCGGGTGGTGCCGGTTATCTAGGGTCTCCCGATGACCTGGTTCTGTATTTCAAGGGCGAATTGCTGCCTTGTGTCTATGTTGACTTGTTGGCTCTTTGGCCTGGATTGTCCTAGTAGGGACCTTTGTTTGTTCATTTTGCAGGTGAAGATTCAATTGCACAATAGTCGATCGGTGGCGGTTGTCTTGTCCACAACAATTGATACGGCGGGATGGTGGGAGGCGACTTGGCGCATGATCGGGGTGGAGCTCTACTAGAGGATATTGGAGCTTAGCTTCTCACTTCAGTTGGTTTTCTTTCTGCTTTGTTTCTCGTCGACTAAATAGGACTGCCCATCATGTGGCACAAAAGACCCTCTCATCGGGAGTTCGACTATTGGTCGACTCCCACGTTTTTTCTTTCTTCCTCCTTGTGACTATCTTTTCAACACTAACTTTGCGAGAGAGAAAAAACCCACAGACTTGAAAACCAAATCGAGTCAAAGTCTCGAGATGATCGGAAGGGTGGACACAAGACACTTGGGTGGTTAATCCGCGGATTGATATCGATCCATCCGTAAATAACTCCACTCGCAAGCAGTGGATGATTGATGTGGGTGGATTGCGAATTGATAAATCTCTCACCTGTACTTATGTGGGTGGGTGGTGGGTGAATTGCAGGTCACTCGAATGGCCCACATCCTATTAGTATTTTCACATGAAAAAATATATTAAATATTCATCATATTTCCTAAGACCATCAACAACCATGAAATAGCCTACCTATTTCATTTGTGGCCCCCACTGCCACCTATACACTTTTTACAATTTCATTCTTAACATCCATTTCATCTACATCCATGAAATCTATCTCCAATTTCATATGGTGGGCCCGATTCACATAAACAATATAACTAAATAATTATACACTCTAACTAATTGAAATGGGCCCGCTTACTACCCCACTTGCAATTTCACTTGCTCTTCCATCTAATGAAATATTTCATTATTGAAATGAGTTGCTACATCCATGAAATGGCAAATGACATTGCCATGTCACTTTGAAATGAAGAAGAGACAGCCGATGCAGCTGCTCTAACCACAGACCATATACTTTTAAAGGTGGAGAATAAAAAAATAGTTTTGACAATATTATTGATTATTGTATTGTTTAATATCCATTAGATACTAGAATGCGAATATTCTTAATATCCATTAAATATTGGAATGAAAAGTATTAATTATTAATTTATCAAAATCAGAAAATGCGTAAGTTTCTCTATACAATTGGTTGATAGAGTAGTAAAATTTTTTTATACAAATACTACATGGATTCACTTGAGACAAAGTGAGAAGTGTCTAAACTGATAAATCTTCCTGATTTGCTATGAGCTTATTATAAATGTAAGTCAACTTATTTAATGGTTTGTTGAAGAATTGCTTTTGCAGGTCAACCCATGACCCAACCACATACATCTGCCACCACTCAACCTGACCTGTAGAAAAATATGGGTAGATTGCGGGTCACAATTATTTCAAACCGTTAGTAAATAAGTGCAAATGAGTCCATTTGATACGAAAACTGAAAACGCACCCAACCAACCCATTGCCCACCATAATGATCGGATTCGCGGATTAGCAAAAGCCAAGAGGCAAGAACTCAGCATCCCGCTCAAAAACCGCCATCCTCTTCTCCTCCAGCGGTAATCCAAGCTTCCATCGATCGAAATCCACCAGCAACTTCAAATTCCGGAACCCGAGGCTCGACCTCCCCAATCCCCATGGCCGCCAACCAACGCCGGATTCCGCCGCCCGGAAATCCTGATTCGTCCCCGGGAACGAGTTCCAACTAACACAATCGATGAGTGTTACACTAGTGATTAAAGAAGGCAAGTTTTCCGGCGGCTGAGGGTGATTGGGAAAACTTCAATCGCATGCTACAACTTTGTAACTTCCCTTCCTTTAACCCTTCCATGTTCTCTCTTCAGTCTTCACTACCTATCGGTATGGATATATGTGCTAAACTAAACGAAGATCATGTTTCCTATACTAGTGGATTTCTCTGCAGAAAGGAAAAAGAGAAGCCGAGGAGGAATCACGCTAATGAGCACTCAATTCTAGCTAATTTCACAATTGCTTGGTAAGCGTCGAATCTGGTGTTTATGTTTCTTTGCTGTTATGTTTGTGTCTAGATGTAGTGCCTAGCATGATCTAATGCTGCAATTGCCAGGTGGGTTTATCAGACTCAGAAGAGGAACTCCATGTATAGCAGCAAAAGTAATGATGTGGTGTATATTGAGGGCATGCTGTTGTAAGCTTCCAAGGTCCTTACTTTGATAACTCACCCTGATCCTTGCCAAAAGTTCGTAAAATCCATTGAATTGGTTAAACCTTTTGATCACCATGTAATCTTCTGCAGCCGGATTGCAGTTGCATAGCGGAGTGTACTAAGGATGACTTGATCAAACTACTGACGGAGTTGGTTGCTATGCTGTAATGATGAATAGCGTATCTTGATTTGATCAAACTGTTGAGAATGTTGACGATGATGATATCAAGTAAGATCTCGATGCTACCTTCACTTGTTTTAGCAGTTAATTGTTGTGCCATGATATGCTTTTCAGTATTACATCCAAGTTAGGAGATGGAAATGATACTTCCGGAGTTTGAAGGGTTACAGTATGCATAATGTTTCTTATGCCAACTAATTTTATAAAGTTCTGTGGCTTGCTGATCTGATGGTTGCATGAGTTTCTAGACTTTCAAATACCTTGAACTCCTGATGTAAAGTCTTTGAATGCATTTCTCCAGTAGCTGTGTTCGAGGAAAACAGCAGTAAATTGTGATGGGAATGGGATACTTTAACTTATTAGTTACTGAATCAGGAGTAAGCTTTGCTACCTATTACTTATTGAACCTTAACAATGAACATATACCACTACTTCTAATCTTAATATGTTGTAGCAAACTAAGAAAGTTTGTTATCTGCCATGGGTATGACTGTCTGTACTCCTAATACGTTCTTAATATCTCCCAGGATCCTGTCCCTATTTACACACAACTCTTGTACAACAAAGCTAATCCCAGGCCGATGCCAAGGTAATTCCGCCGAACAAACGACTCCAATTCTAACAATTGAAGCCAAACACTTGTTCAGTGAACCTCCTGAACTTGTTTCCTTTTCCAGGAGAAGCGGGTCTACAATATCCATAACCCCGCCTGCAGGAAAGCCCAACTTAGAATCCGCCAGGCTGTGTAGGCTCATCCCATCTTTGAACATTGTGTCGGTAGGGCTCTTCCCTGTGAACATCTCCAACAGGAGGATTCCATAGCTGTAAACGTCGCCGTAAGTTGATGCCTCGCTCCCCATCCCATACTCTGCATCAACCACATTGAATGTTTTGTGAGTGGGTTTTCTTTCTTCTTTCCAGTAGGCTATAAAGTATAGCTCAAAGTATGGGTTTCATAGAAGAAAAAGACAGAAAGAGTCGAGAGCTAGCTAAATACCTGGAGGAGCATAGCCAATGGTTCCCCTGACTCCAACAGAGCTGGATTGATTTGCTGAAACTCTGCACCCTGCTGCGACAAGCTTTGCCAGCCCGAAGTCACTGACCCGACCGGTCATCCGGTGATCAAGCAAAACGTTGCTCGGTTTCAGATCACAGTGAATAATCGGGGATTCACATTGGTTATGGAGATAGTCTATTGCAGAAGCAATATCAATCGCAATGTTCAGCCTCTGCATCAAAGTCAGACCCCTTTGTTTTCCATTGGCCAAAGTAGCTGTACTTTGATGCAGCCAGTCATCCAAGCTCCCATTTTCCATGAATTCATAAACCAGAGCTCTGAAATCATCGCCATGGTGATCCACGCTCGAGCATACTGTCACTACTTTTACCAGATTTCGATGCCTGGCATTCCTGAGAGCTTGGCACTCCGCGAAGAAACTCTTGTAAGCTCTTGGGTGGACGAGGTTGAGAACTTTGACAGCAATTTCGGACTTGGTTTCGTCTGGGGAATCTAGTGTTCCCCTATAGACGGATCCAGAGCCTCCCCTGCCAATCAGATTCTCTGAAGAGAACCCATCTGTGGCTTTCAGGAGCCTCTCATAAGAAACCTGAAGGACTTCTCTACTGCTGGGAAGATGCATTGTTATCTTTCGAGATTGTTTCTTCCTACTCCGATAAATGAAGAAACAAGTGAAAGCAATGATTACTGCGGCAGAGATGGAGACTGATGAGGAGATTATGATCTTCAGTTTAACCTGATTCGCTTTTCCTGATCGCTCTTGAATGCATTTCGGCAGCCTGAGATCAGGAATTCCGCCACAGAGATCTCCATTTCCGTCAATCATGGTTGAGTTTTGGCGCCTGAAAATTCCTTCAGTTGGTACCAGGCCTTGGAAATTATTGTGAGATAAATCCAGGGACTCCAGTGAGCTGAAACTCTGAAAGAAGTCAGGAATCTGGCCGGAGAAGTTGTTGCGCGAAAGGTTCAGCCGTTGGATGCCTCTCAATGCACTCAAAGATTGAGGGATGGAGCCCTGAAAGTAGTTGGAGTCCAAGTAGAGAGCCTCTAAGGTTTCACAACTTCCAAGGCTGTTAGGAATTCTTCCTGACAACCTGTTTTGAGAAAGCCTAAGCTTTCCTAGGTTCTTCAGGTTCCCCACTTCGACAGGAATGGAACCCGAAAGGCGGTTTCCTGACAAGTCGAGGAAGATTGACAAGGAAGACAGGCTAACAAGTTCAGTTGGAATGGTACCTTCAAGAGAGTTCTGAGATAGATTCACAGCCAGCAGCCTCTTGCAGTTACCTAAAGCATCAGGAATGCGCCCCTGGAGACTGTTCATCTCAAGATGAAGTTCTACCATTCTAGTCAAATTTCCGAGAGAAGTTGGAATGGACCCTGAGAAACCATTGTTTGCCAAGTTTAACCCTTCCAAATTCTGAAGCTTCCCAATGTTCGAAGGAATATTGCCTGAGAGGTTATTGTTATGAGCTTCAAATTGTCTCAGGTTGATAAGATTTTCAACTCCAGGTGGAATGCTTTCTGATATCTGATTGCTACTAACCAACATCAATGTCAGCTTCGTCGAAAGATTCCCAATCTGGTCCGGCATCCGTCCACCGAAATTATTGTGATCTAGAGCGAGAATTTCCAGAGCAGTGTTGTTAGTCAAACTAGCCACGAAGTCCAGATCACCATCTGTTCCGGTTCCAAGCTCGTTGGAGTCGATCGCCATCCATCGGAGCTTGTTCAGCTTTTGCAGAGGAGGAATTCTCCCTGAAAACATATTAGAACCCAATCTAATAGTCCCCAAATCCGTGGCATTCGACAATGAAGCCGGAATCGATCCCGAGAACCGGTTGTTCACCAAGGAGATGAACTGAAGCTGTGGAAGAAACCTCGACCCCAGCCCTGAAGGAAGCTGTCCTGTCAACATGTTGAGTTCTAAATCCACAACGATGAGCGTCGAACTGTTGAATGTCGAATCAGGAATCGGTCCCGAAAGGCTATTATCGTAGAGCGACACGATCGAGAAATTCCTCAACTGGCCTAGACCATCTGGTAGACTCCCCACAAGATGGTTTCTGTAAGCATAAAGCTCCTCCAAGGAAGACATGTTCCCTACAGATTGAGGAATACTACCCGTCAGGCTGTTGTTTCCAAGCCCGATTCTTTTCAGCTTAGACAGCGACCCAATCTCATCAGGAATTCTCCCTGACAGCAAATTTCCCGCAAATGTGAAGAGAACGAGGTTCGAGCAGTTGAAAACCTGAGCAGGTATTTGGCCTCCGAGAGAGTTGTTCCGGAGGTTCAGCCACTCCAGCCTGCTGAGCCGCCCGATCTCCGGCGGGATCTCGCCTCCCAGGGAGTTGTTCTGGAGGTAGATTTGTCGGAGGAAGGTGAGGTTTCCGATGGAAGGGGAAATGGTGCCGGAGAGGCGGGAGGAACGGAGGTCGATGACGGTGACCCTCTGGTGCCTGCTGCCGCAGGTGATGCCGCCCCACTGGCAGAAGTGAGCGGTGGAGTTCCAGGTTGCCATGATTTGAAGTGGGTCTTGGGTTATTTGGGCCTTGAGATCCATCAGAGCAAGTTGGTCGGTCTGGTTCCCGTCGGCGGCAGCCGCGACGACGGGAATTGGTGAGCTGAAGAACAGAGCAAGCGAAGAGCTGATGAGGAAGAGAGTGAGGAACTCCATCTGGGTTTGGGGGGAAAACTACTGAAAATTGATGAGCTGGGGATGGATGATTTTTAAAATGTGAATTGTTTTTGGAGCAAGTTGGATCGGTTTGGTGAGATTGAGATGCTTCAGTAGAGTCGTGGAAGATGGCTGGTTGGTCAAGGATAATGGAAATGCGGCTCTGAGGAACTCGTTGTCTCTTTTCTTTCTGGAAGACTGTTATATTTTATTATATATGAGACAGCGTAATTGATCAAGCGCTTTAGTTACATGGCTGAAGGGCAGCTGGTTTGTTTTGCTGACTTTAGCGTAGCAAAAGTCAAAGCAACAAGAAAATAAAAAAAGTCAAAGTTGCAGAAAACTGATACATGTGGCCTGGATGTTGGGAAAAGCTAATCCTCAGATGAAGGATAATGGTAAACAAGTTCACTCTTTCAAATATTAGTAAAAACAACTTAACCATTAAGGTCAAATCGCATTGATTTTTTGTTTTCCATTTCTTAACTCTATTTTTATATGATTATAGACCGAGGATCAAATCCCTAATTTTGTGCATTCGATAGTAGCAACTAGCATAAGGTATTTGCATGTGAATATGAAACAAATCAAGCAAGATTTAGACGTTATTGTTAGATGTTACGGCTGTTTCTACTTTCAGACGTTGTGCCATGTGAGTAACACGGACAAAGTACAAGCTCACAATCTTATACGAGTTTTCAAAACTCTCAACCAAGAAGTTCTTAGCAAAAGTATTGAAAAATGTCATGACAATTATCATGTTCTTAAATGTACTGATGGAGGTACGCCTTTAGGTCAGGGGTCGTTTAGTCATTTGTTAAGGTTAAGTCGATTAGGGTTTCAGGTTAGCGTCTATATATTGTTGTTTACGTATTTCGTCAGAAGGAATCAATCAATAAACAAATTATCAAAGTATCGTCAGATTATTTCAATCTCGCTTCCAATCTCTGATTCTATTCTAATCTTCTCCATATCTCCAAATATCTTCTTCTCAATCCCCACTACCCTTCATCCACTCATCAGATACCCTCAATTTTCTTCAAAAGGGAACGTTGAAATCATAAATGTCCTTTAAATTCTTCGTTACTATAGAAATCTTGAATGTTTTTAGTGGTTCGGATTTTTAGTAACAAATGGACGAATATTAAGATTCCAATCTTGTGAAGTTATCAGCCAAACCATCAACACTCTTGTTTAGGGGTGAGTTCTTATTCTTTGTCTTAATGAGGATTTGGGAGGAAAATATTCCACGATTTTAAAGTGACATTTGATTTTGTTTGACAACAATTGTTCAAACAAACATTTGAAGAGTTTAGGAGTGAAAGGGCATTATTATGTGATGAGTTAGTTGTGGTATATAATGTACGCTCTTCTCTTTAGTTATATGGGAGAACAACTAAGAAATTTGATTCTTATGTCGTGAGTGAATATCCACACTTAGATAAAATTCCAGATAGACGTGAAAATTTGATTGTATTTATGGATTGGATTGATGGATTTACAGATTGTACCATTGATACAAATGACATTTAAATACTAGACCATTATGAAAAAAATGGATAGTTTAGATACTTAAATGTCATTATATTTTTTTTACCAAAACATAATTTTTAATGACATTTTCATTAAATAATTATAAATTTAGGTACCAAATTGTGAAATAAACAATAGATCTACTAAACTACATTCCAACAATACATGAATCCTCAAAACCAACCGGATTTGGAATCTTTTAGTGCATGGATTGGATTGATGGATTGTATTCAAATTGCCACATCTATTATCATACTACTATTCCTGACATGGAAATCGTCATTCCAGTTTCCACTAATGCGGTGTAACTACAAATCCTTTGACCAAAAGTTAAAATGTACTTCCGAGTAGGGGTGTTCAAATGGTTACCATGGTTCAAACCAAATAAGGCTAAATTTCATTAACCATGGAATACAATATCATAACCAAACCGTCCAAACTAATACAACAACCAAATTAACCAAACTAAAGTTTAATCAGTTTGGTTAATTGGTTAACCACATTAACCAATATAAAATCACATTATCATTGACGATGAAAATTTTCTGGTTAATGCAACAATTCGCAATTTATATAATGAATAAAACATAACAATCAACACGTAGTTATAGTTGACCCTTAACAAAAATACATGCAACTAAGACAATTATCTTACGATTAGTATAGAAGTATTCACCTAACAAAAAATTATGACAATGGTATGGGTTAATGAATTGTTGTGTTTGTGTAAATTGACTTAGTCTCTTAGCAATGATCATAGGCTGGAAATGACCTTCCTTTCAAGTTTTCATTCATCATAATGTATGAAATTTATCTAAATTAGGCGTACATATGTTGTGGTCTAGACTTTACATATACAAATATACACTATATGAGCAATATTGAGCTTTATATTTTATGAGTCTAAAAGGGATGAACGTTAACTCTTGAGTGGTTATGCAAAGTATTATGTGTATATAATATATATTAGATATATGACTAATTACTTAACTGGTTAATTTGGTTTGACTGGTTAGGAGTGTCTGAAACCAAACCAAACCACCTAAACCAAACAAGCTAAAAACTTTAACCAAACCAAACCAATTATCCAAATTAACCAAACCAAATTATCCAAATAGTACCGGTTAAAACAGTTACCACGGTAACCAAACCGTTTGAACACCCCTTCTTCCGAGGAAACAATTCCTACATGGCAAAAGAAAATCTGGCAAATAAAAAAAGGCATTTTGAATCGAATGTTTGCTCGGTTTGAAGTTGGTTGCTTACTTTTAGGATATTTCAATTCTGATTTTGATCGAATTCGGTTTAGTTTTGACCGAAACAACCGAGTGCCCACCCCAACTAAGTACAATCTTTCTTACGCAATGTCGCGGTAAGCACCCAGGGAAAACCGATCTCAAGAAATTCAATAGTGACCTAATTGGCAGCTTACCAGTTTCCTATCTACCAAAAAGGGCACCTAAATAATCCCGTCAACACCCTTTCCACGTGGCAGTTTCCGGGTAGTCCAAATCCCACGGTATCCCTCCTGCCCCGGCGTTTAATGGATCGAAAGAATTTCCGGCAGAGAATAAGATTTGTTGTACGAGCAATTGAATTTGATATTTCAAACTTGTTCCATGAAGAAGGAAGTAGTATCCAGTCGAAACCGAGTTGGGGTTCGATAAAGAATTGTTTTTGGATTCAAAACTTAAGAAGATCGCCGTGGCGGGATGTGTTTGTGGCGGAATCCCCAATCCATCGTCCCTCGCTAGGCAACAAGCCGGCGCCAGATAATCCACACAAACCCAGTACAAGAAGAAGCTTCCTTCGCAGGAACTTGCCGACTTTCATTGAAGCCATCCCCCGCCTGCAGGAGCTTGCGGACTTTCCTTGAAGCCAAAGTAAGTAATAAAGGAGCTTCCTTTGCTAGTGGGTAAAGGTAGAGACTGAATAAAAGTTCAGATCTTTGGAGGAGAAAAAGAGTGGTGGTTTGCAGGAAGCTGGTGGTGAAGCAGGCAAAAGGAAATGGGGATATTACATGAAGATGTTGTGTTGATAAATCAGGCTGAGAAGGCTGGTGAACCAACTGTGATTACCGTGAATTGCCCGGATAAAACTGGGCTGGGGTGTGATTTGTGCAGGGTTATTCTCTTCTTTGGTCTCAGCATTTCCAGAGGAGGTGAGTTGATGGCTTTGAAGCTCTCTCTCGATTCTCTTGGCTTTTTGGGTTTTGTTATGCACTTTTCAATTCGTTTACTACTGGCTTCAGTTACTTTCTGGGTTGTGTAGCAATTTCTTCTTTTGTCTGATCTGGTTTAGTTGTGATCTAGAAGAGTTTCTGGCCTTTGTATGGTATCAGTTTTGGTGACTTTGAGGTTTGATCTGTTGCCAGAGGAAACAGAAGGTGGTATAAAGTTTGTGACTTGGTGATTTACGACTCTTTTCATTTTTGCTGAACTGTCTGCAGATTTTCAGACGGATGGGAAATGGTGCTATTTAGTGTTTTGGGTGGTGGGGAAGCCCAACACAAGGTGGAATTTGTTGAAGAAGAGACTGTTGGAGGTGTGCCCTTCTTACTTCTCCACATCAGGCATCTACTACTATCGGCCAGAAAATCAGCAGCCTACCCCGCCAAATGTTTTCCTCTTGAAGTTCTGGTGTTCTTGCGATCGAAAGGGCCTTTTGCATGGTAACCAGAAAATTTTTCAGATGTCTTAGAACTTGCTGTTAAAAGTTGGCCCTTTATTTAAGATGTTAATAGCAAATGCTTTCTATAGGATCGATGTGATCGTTTGGATGATTTGCATTCTCAAAAGGACTGAGAAAACTGAATATTTCGATTCATTTTTGCTTTCCTAACATGGTAGGAACTGCAATGCTCATCTTGCTATCTGAACTGTAATGTCCATGGCTTTCTGACTAAAAAATGAATACCAGACAGCTGCCGCCTTCTTGTAGTTTGAGTAATGAGTAAAACTCTTTTTATGTTCTGCAGTAGTAGCTGGCATAGAAATTCATAATTGATCTCAGTTTGTATTTTCTTTTGTTGTACTTTCCCCCCTTATTTGGCAGTATTCACTATAGAACAGAAAAATTTACAGCTGTAGAGGCTCATGGTTTCTTTCTCGGTGTAGTATTCACTAACAGGACTTTTTTTCATTGTTAGATGTTACCAAGGTTCTTTGCGACCTGGAGCTGACCATTAAACGAGTGAAGGTATCCACAGCCCCCGATGGAAGAGTTATGGACCTCTTTTTTGTCACTGATGCTAGGTTTGTGATTCGTTGATACTTCCTCTAGAACTCAATTTCGTGTTATTTTCCTTACGATCTGATGTTCCAACGAAAAAGCTACTGTTTATATGTCAAAGTTATTAAACCTGGTAAAGTGGAGGATGGGTAGCCTAGGTTACTTTTTATGTTTAACACTGAAGGGTGTATTTTCTGGCATGCATGTTATTGGGAGGCATATCTTAACCTTTGGTGATTTCTCGCGACTTATTGCGGACCTCAACCTCTTGTTTTTGTTCTGGTTGATTGTGATATGTGGGCATGTTTTATTGCTTCCATGTGTTCACCGGAAAGGTATTATTTGGTGCAGTATTTTGTTTGTCATATTGGTTATGAAGGAGAGCTCTTCATCTTGGCTGATTCCATGTGGTTGGCTTCTTGCTATTGCAAATCCAAAGTACTCTAGCTATTTGGAAAAGACATGCCTCAGTTTACATGCTTGTTTTTCCCATTTCTCTTGCCTAACCTCTTACATATTTGATTAGTTTCAAAATGAGAGTTGTTAAAGTCTTTCATGAATCTATGTAGTTAACCCTTACGTTTTTTATTCAGGGAACTTCTTCATACCAAAAAGAGACAGGAGGAGACATTCTGTCGTCTGAAAGATGTATTAGGCGATGCACTGATGAGTTGTGAGATTGAGATGGCTGGAGCAGAAATTATTACAGCATGTTCACAAGTGTCTTCATTTCTTCCTTCTGCAATCACGGAGGACATGTTCAACTTAGAGCTCCCTGATAGCAGACAGCGGAGTGGTTTTTTTGCTTCCACTCCTGTATCTGTTACAGTGGACAACACTCTCAGTCCCTCTCACACCCTTGTTCAGATATTCTGCAAGGATCACAAAGGCCTCATTTACGACATTATGAGAACCCTTAAGGACTATAATATACAGGTAGGTAACTCCACAATCTCCTTTTCCTTCGAGATTCAGTATAAGGTTGAGTTTGTTTCTTTGTGCTGCAACTTTAAGTAGACAGAGTCTGAAAGTTAGTTCATTTTCCCCTCACAGCACATTTCCTTCTTTTCCTTTAAGCTAAAGTTAGGGTATAACGAATTTTGACTCTTCTCTTCCACTTGAAGTTTCAGCTCATTCACTTAAAGTAGCAATATATGATCATAAGTCTGGAAAAGAAAAGGTAGAAAAGCTGCATAAGACATGCAATTTATTTGATCATGTGCATTAATATATTGTGTCCCTTGTTTGGTGGTTAGATTTCATATGGAAGATTCTTTGCAAATCCAAGAGGGAACTGTGAGGTCGACGTGTTCATAATGCAAGCGGATGGGAAAAAGGTGGTTGACCCAAACAAACAGACGGCACTGTGCTCCCGTTTGAGAATGGAGCTTCTGAACCCTCTTCGAGTAGCGGTGGTCAGTACTGGTCCTGACACAGAGCTTCTTGTGGCAAACCCTGTTGAACTCTCCGGCAGGGGAAGGCCTCTTGTCTTTCACGATATCACCTTGGCTCTCAAGATGCTCAGTGCTTGCGCATTCTCGGTACTCCTCTCTGCAAATCGAAATCGTTAAAATTCCATGCACACAAAGGTTGTCTTGTCTCCATTTATGAGCTGGGTCTCTAACGCTTTTCGCTCTTGGTCCTCAGGTGAAGATCGGAAGGTACATGATTCATGATAGGGAGTGGGAAGTGTACAGAGTGCTGCTTGACGAAAGAGAGGAACGCCCAACTGTGCCAAGGATGAAGATCGAGGAAGGTGTGAAGAAAGTATTGATGGGTTGGGAATAAGATTAAATTGATCATCTACTTATTCCAGCCTTTGTATATAAAAATACATCTAGATACTGTTTCTATTTCCTTTTCCCCTGGCTTACTAACCACCATATATGTTCACTTCAGTACTTGCAAAAATGTAAATCATGGATATGAGATAGAGAAATATGAATGACAAAAGTATCTGTACATTAAATTCCTGGCCTTCACCGGGAAACACCGGCTCCAAAGATTACTACTTCTTTCTGCACTTGTTCTTGGCGTTCAAGGAACGTTCTGCTGGCTTTTCCCACAGATTCTGTGAAGCCTCTGATATCCAAGATCATCAACAGTATAATTTATAGCTGAAAAGTAAAACTGCAACCCCCATTCAAAATTTCCAGCCCATAGAATGATTTTAGGAAGCTGATGTGGCAGAGTGTTAAGCGGGAGAAAAAAAGGAGTCCCGCCTGATTTCAGAACCAAAAAACTCTCCACTACCCACTTTTTTCTTCTTCCAGGCCCACGTTCTCATTTAATTTGTATAAAAAACTCTCCACTACCCACTTTTTTCTCTTTCCAGGCCCACGTTCTCATTTAATTTGTATTAATTTGTATTTTTTATTTCCGATTTCCCTTCCTTCCACTCTTTCACCTCATTCGAATAAGTTTCTTGGCCTTCAGAAAACCAAACCTTGACTCAATCATCTGGTTCTTTTATGTGCTTGCATCTACCTTTGATTTCCGTTCTCTAAGCGTTAGATCGGTATTGGTTTTGCCGTAAGTTATTCTTCCTCTTTCATATTTCTGTTTGTTGTTGTCGCTGCTTTTAAGTTTTAGGGATTCGGGTTCTGGGTTTTTTTTCAGGGATTCGGTTGCAAAGATTCATCTCCCTTACCTTTGGTTCATTCCGTTTTCTTTATTCTCTCTTACCTTCCTCGCTTCATTCTGTTGATTGGATTCTCTAGAGATCAAAAGGGGATTTTTTATTTTTCCCTTTCTCTTGAAAGTAACAAAGCTGCTTACTTTAAATTCCACTTCGCTTAGACTGTCTTCCAGAGAGCAGCCGACTGCCGATTTTGAGCTGAGTTTTTCCGGGCCGCAGAGAAAGAAGAGGAAAGAAAGAGACGTTAGGCGGCGGCTAGGGGTGGGCATCCGGTTCGGTAAACCCTAACCGGACCGAACCGAGTTTCAACCGAACCGAAACCGAAAAAGTGTTGTTCGGTTCGGAAATCGGAAGAGGAATTGACCTAATTCGGAAATCAAGGTTGTAACGACCGAACCGAGTTCCCGAATTTCGAACCGACCAACCGAAATTCTACTCACAATCTCCCCAACCCAGACACCAAAGCCCAACCAAAACCCAACCCAGTCCATACATAGCCCAGTTCATACACAAATACAAAGCCCAAACTCTCCCCCAACCCTAACTCCCTTAGCCTAAATCTAACCAACCAACAAAAGATACTCAGTCGCCGCCGCCGCCGGTAGCCTTCTTCCATGGATGAGCTCCCTGACCTGAAACTTGATACCAAAAACCCAAATCCAAACCTAAAACCCACATACATCAAAATCAGTACTGATAATCAAACGAGGAACCCACATGCATGTCGAAAAGATCTTACCCAATTCTAGATCTGACTCCCTCCATAGCCGCCGTCGTCGACGGGATTGGACCACTGCCTCCCCTGCCGCCAGCTATGCCCGCCCCGTCTCCACACGCCGAGCGATCTCTTCTTCCTCTTACCGCCGCCGCTCATTGTCGTCGTTGCCGCTGGGTCGTTTTCTCCTTCAATCGCTGTCGCCAGCCACCTGCCCCTGAGTTCTTCCCTCCGTCAATCGCCGGAGACAGGAGGAAAAATAGCTGCTGGGCGGCGGGCGCTGCTTTGTGATCTTAGGAGAGAGAGAGAGAGAGAGAGAGAGAGAGGGAGGAGAGAGAGAGGAGAGGAGAGGAGAGGAGGAGGAGGAAGAAGAAGAAGAGAATTAATTCTCGTTCTGTGGAATTAGAAATGGTGGGTGGGGAAAAAGGTAAGTGGGGAAAGAGGGGTAATTCGGTTTTGACCATCCGAACCGTACCGGACTGAGTTGTAATTCGGTTCGGTCGACCGAACCGAATTACAATTCGGTTCGAATTCGGTTGGCGTGTTGAGCAACTCGGAAATTCGGCATGTGGTGGTTCGGTTCAAACCGAACCGACCGAACGCCCACCCCTAGCGGCGGCAGCCAGGTACTTCGTCCGGGTCGTTTTCTGGGTCAGTAAACCGAAGGGCCGGCTATAAACTACCGCTGGCCTGGCGGGGGAAAAGGAAAGCGTAAACCATAAGGCCTCGGGGATCCATTTCTCTCGCCAGCCCATACTTCAGAGGCCCAGCCTACTTGAGTCCAGAACCAGCCCATAGCCGACGAAATTTGGCGCGCTGTCCCCCACCCGCCACCACGTATGAGACATAATCAATTTACTTTCTGATGTTAACTCTGTTGCAGGTAAATGTCGAAATCCAACTTGATCAGTAATGTTTTCTCTCATATGTTTCTAGGTTAATTAATCTAATGGGACTGGCTATGATATGATAATGTACTTTCAGCTCTAATCACTAAAGAAGTATAAAGTAGGCGATATTGATAAGCATGCTCCACTGGTTAGTGTATTGGTTCTACCAGGCTTTTTTCCCGTTATTACATAAGATCATTGGACAGTTTTATCTCACTCCATTAGTTTGTTTTATTGTTCTTCAACTTCATTTGCATTGTATTTGTATTGTGACATTAGAGTTGGAATCCATTTGTGCTAAAAGTACAAAGCGTAAACTGCATAATTGAAAGAAGGGATAAGCTTGGTATAGTTAGAAGAACTAGAATTGGTAAGCACTTATAGTGCTTTTCTTATTGCCAGCTTGCTTCTTTTTCAAACTTCTCTTTGAATATGGTTTTTATGGATGCCTTTGAATTATATTTGTGTTGGCCATTACATTGTTGTCCTTCTCGCTCTTCCTTTGCATCCCCAAGCTTGGAAGCCATTATGTTATATGTGTTTTGTTCATCAATTTAAATTATGCCTTATATAGTTATATTTTTCTTCGACTGTTATGTTTGTGTGGTGTGTTGTATGTGTCATTAACTCGCACAAACTTATAATTGGTGAGGAGTTCAACTTCTGTTGTAACAATTAATTAATTTATATGAATGGCAGCTGCAAAATTTACTGGAACGGGTGCATCATTTACCATGACCTCTATTTCAGATTGCATCAGGTTATTGGAGAATTTAATATGGATAGTGCAAATGTCATCCCATCTGCCCAACCACAGATTTATCGATCGTCTGTACCATGTGAGTGTCATGGTTTAGCACGCAACTGCTTCAATGCAAACTGACATTAATATTTTCCCTTGAATCTCATTTGTTTAGGGAAACGTCGAGCAGTGTTTATTCATCCTGAAGATCAGTACCAACGCTGTGTTTTATCTGCTGAAGAGGAAGAAGCATTTGAGAGAGGTGTGTTATCTGTGTTTTAATTTTTCTAATTAGTTCATCTATTCAATGAGTAATACATGGTTTTATATTTAAATTCTGCAGAAGAAGCTGCCTTACAATTCCAACTCTCTCAACTTCGGCGAATACTATCCCAAGTCGCCCGTAAGAGAAGACATCATATTTTGAAACAGAAGGTTCATAGGAGGGGCTTGCCTTTTGAACACCAAGGTTGTTGTTTGCTAAATTTTGTAGCAAGTCTTACAAATTAGGCTATTCTAGATTGTTGAATCTTTATTTATTTCTTTAATATCGTATGTGTTTTGGTGTTGTTCATAGTTTTGGAGCCGGAGTTTAGATTTCTATTACAAAAGCAAAGTCGATTACTTCGACGTATTCATCTGCATAGAAAGAGACGTGGCCAAAGTTTCTTTCCTACAGAAGTCAATCAAAGTATGTGGATTCTAATGGCCACTATTATACATGAAATGGTTCATCTCTATTTTGGTTTAGTTTTTGTACATTGGATATATGTTTTTGTGTTCTGGTCAACATATTTTGTTTCCTATTTTGGTTTTAGAACATATAATGTACCCATTTATGCCATGCATATAATTTAGTGATGTACGCTTCATGTCACCTTATGCAAATAGTGGATTGTTTTTAGATCTTGATGTGTCAACGGCAAATTTATGTGTTATGAACAAACTTTGGTGTTTCCTGAAATTTGACTTATTCTTACTTAAAATGAGCGGTATACCAATCTATCTTGCCTTGAGAACATTTATTTTAATAATTGTGTTTACTGTAGCGCGCCTAAATCGGCTTCACAGTTTCTCAATCTCATTCAATTTATGAATTACTGTGACAAAAATTTATTAATATTACTTATCTAATTCACTAGGTCTTCCGTTGGTTGAATTTTTTGATATTGGTCCACCTTCATGTACGTGTCAACATTGTGGAGCAGTTATGTGGCGGTTCGAGAGTACTTTATCTACACGGAATGATGTGTTGCCTGCATTTCCTTTATGTTGCAAACATGGTAAAGTGAAATTGCCTCCCCGCAGAGATGTGCCCGAATTTCTTAAAACTCTACTTGAAGGGGATACACCATTAGCGCGTCACTTTCGTACTAACATCAGAGCCTATAATGAGGTTTTTTGCTTTATTTCTCTCGGAGGTAAAGTCAATCACTCTATTAATGATGGTCGTGGAGTTTATGTATATTCAATCGGTGGTCAGATTTATCATCGAATAGGATGTTTGGTTCCTGGTGATGGGGATATTCTGAAATTTGCACAGCTTTACATTCACGATTCAGATAACGAGGTGCAGAATCGTATAGACTTTTACTCCCCTGATCCTGCCAAGAATCCATTGCGCCAGTGTATTGTTGAAGGCCTCCAGCATATGTTTGATGACAATAATATCCTGGTACGTACATTTCGTTCTGCGTGAGATAGGATACAAAACTCTGGTGTCCAGGAGCTTCAACTGAAACTATTGGCTAAGCGTGAAATTAATAGTAGAGAATATGATTTGCCCTCTGCGAATGAGATTGC